TATTTTTTAATTTAGAATTCATACAACTTCCGAATGCGGGATTTCGCTGTAACATTCTACTTTGCGCCTCGGTCTGGCGCTGTTTGAGCTGTAGAACATCTCAATGAAGCTTTCCGCTTTACCTTTTGTACGAAAAACTGCGATCTCCGTACGGATTTGCAACAAAATCTTCGTATCTCGCGAAAACGCACTGAGGACCTTCAGATCACTGTTTTTATCACCTTGACCATGCTAACCCCCGCTCCCTGGTTTTCTCGTAACTGCCAGGCCTTATTTGTACCGATTAAAACCCTGCAAACTGTCGAATAGGGCAATCTTAAGTTTTTAGCAATTTTACGTATACTTAAGGCCGAATCAATTATAAACTCGTGCAAAATGGTTTGTCTCATTTCTAACTCGGTTGCCATTTTTAGCTCAACTAGGAATCAAATTCAAATGAAATTTCTTCTACGTCCAACTAAGGTCATGGTGAACTTATGGTATTTGAATTTCAAAATATTGAAATCTTTTTGGGTAAGTTCTAAGCTTCCCAAAGTGTCGCAATTTTGGTGTGTTCACCCTTTATGAACGAAATCAGACCAAAAATACTAGTTTACCAAATATATCGACTCGTGAGCCAACTATCGGCTTGGCTCAGCATTTATGTTGAAAATAGAAATGGGTTCTTGACTTCATAATGAAAAATATATAAATTTTTAACTTCTAATTACTAATAAGATACTATTAAATTTGATTATAACAATTAACAAAAACTGAACTAGATTTTTAAGTAGAATCTGCTATAATCGAAATACGGAAATCCGGCTGGATTTTAGCCATTATTCGGCCGGATAGTTGGATACTAGAAAAAAGGCCGGATAAGCCGGATTCTGGATATATACCGGATACCCGGCACATCCCTATTAAAAATCAACGCGATTTTCTAGTCGCTTCAAACTTGTACTTGTTTTACTAGATTTAAAGATTACTCAAAATTTGTCTAAAAATTCAGATTAAAAAGTTCAAAATTTAGACGAAAATTTGAAAACTAATTTTTCTAAGGTCNAAAAAAACTGAACTAGATTTTTAAATAGAATCTGCTATAATCGAAATACGGAAATCCGGCTGGATTTTAGCCATTATTCGATTTTCTAGTCGCTTCAAACTTGTACTTGTTTTACTAGATTTAAAGATTACTCAAAATTTGTCTAAAAATTCAGATAAAAAAGTTCAAAATTTAGACGAAAATTTGAAAACTAATTTTTCTAAGGTCTGTTTAAAGTTTGAAAGTTTGGTTTTGATTACAGCATGAACCATGTTTTCATAAAAAAATAACAAAAAAATTTAACTTGAAAACCATTGCAAATATTAAACCAAAAACACCATGCACTCACTTTTGATTGCCAGTGTGTATGTATGTAATTACTTAATTTACAATTTAACAATTTCGAAGACAATAGATGTACATAGATGGGCGTGCGCAGAGCATAATTTAGGGGGACGAGCTGAGATTTTTTGTAATGTAAATTTTATTAGAAATGTTAAAATATAGCTATTAAAAAATTTTTAATAATTTTTCATTGATTTTTCCCTTTTTAACCGACTTCAAAAAAATGAGGAAGTTATCAATTCATCGGAATATATATTTTTTTTTTTGNTCTTTTTAACCGACTTCAAAAAAATGAGGAAGTTATCAATTCATCGGAATATATTTTTTTTTTTTTGTGTATGTTACCGCATAACTTTGGACCACATTAACGGATTTCGATCGATTTCGATTTTTCTATCGGAAAGGTGGTGCCTCAGCGGAGGTCCCATACCATTTTTTTTTTTAGATCCGATAACTGGACCATGAAGAAATTAAAGGTACTTCTAAATTTGTATATAAGAATTGAAGTCGGTTGTGTTTTTTGCATAAAAATTACTCGTTATTTTAACAATTGAGTTGTACCGAGCATACAGTTTGTTATGAACTTATTTAAGAGTTAAAATAAAAATTTGTTAGTTATCTTAATTGCATGCAAATTTTAAAATGCGACTTCGTCTTCATCTCAAAATCGTAATTTTTTAATTATTTTTAACCGACTTCAAAAAAAGGAGAAGGTTATCTATTTGTCGGAATATTTTTTTATGTATGTTGCCGCATAACCGATTTCGAAAATTTTTTTAAATGATAGGTTAGTTTTTTTCCTAATTTTTCACTCATTTCTTATCAACTAGGTACAATCCATCAGACGAATTGGATTTTCATTAATATCTGGTTTTTTCTTCGGAAAAACTACGTCCAAATTCAATTAAAAAAATTTTTTTGAAATTTGAAATTTTTTCTCAAAAACTAAACGTGCTAGACAAATTNCCTGGTTTTTTATTCGGAAAAACTACGTCCAAATTCAATTAAAAAAAAAATTTTTGAAATTTGAAATTTTTTCTCAAAAACTAAACGTGCTAGACAAATTTTGTCAATGCACTTCAAATTAGTATCAAAAAATCTATAAGATGAGGTCGACCCGTTTTTTGAGATAAATTACGAACAAATTTTGTTGAACTGTGTTATTTTACCTTTTTTTGACACTGACTGTATATACTTACAAAAAATAGCGAGCTAGTCGGTTATTAAAACACGAGTTGTAAATTTCAACAAAAACGTTTGATGGAAACTTGCGATGCATACGTACATGCATACGTAGGTACAATATGTATCTTATACATAAGCATAAAAAAGGAAAAAAGTGGACTACGACTGCAGCACATTCACTGGCTAAATTTAATAACTTCGGAAAAAACGAATTACTAGAATAAGTTAACTGTTTTATTTATGACTTGATTTCAGAGTTTGATTTACCGCTGCGACCTACATAGATTACTTCCTTAGCTCACTAAATTCTAATAACTCAAACTCTAACCCACTAAATACAACTTTACAGTCTACGAACTCAAATATTTTTGTAAGCGATGTTTTTTCCGTAGGAGCGTAATGTAAATTAATAAACATAAGGGCTACAGCGACCTGAAATTTCCATTTTTCCACATAATGATGTATTTAAAAATAAAAAAGATATTTTTTACTTTTCGAAAAGTTCACCGGTAAATTATTTACGCAAAAATTTGTTGCTGTATCAGATAAATCTATGTAATTTACATAATTCAAATAGTCAATCTAATCTTTTAGAATGAATTCATCTACATCAAAAGTGGTAACTGCACTCGATNTTAATTTACATAACTCAAATAGTCAATCTTTTAGAATGAATTCATCTACATCAAAAGTGGTAACTGCACTCGATGTGATAGTAGTGATACTTTCAAGTGCCGCTGGCTTGGGATGCGGTCTCTTCAGTGTGAAACCAACAAGAGAGGTCAATGAAAGCTTAAAAAAGGTAAGTCGATTGAATGATTAATTCATGGGATAAAAAACTTTAAAATATTAGAAAATTAGAAAGAGTGTGTATGAATCGGTAACAAAGTTCGCGGCGAGTAAATTTTTGACAAGTATGAGGTNTATGAATCGGTAACAAAGTTCGCGGCGAGTAAATTTTTGACAAGTATGGGGTGAAAAAAATGGCAGTAGCTCATGAGACTAGTGAAAGTTTTGACAAATGCATAGATTGTTGATGTGTGTAGTTTTTCGTTAAATAAAAGTTTAAATTTATGAATTGTAATCAATGATGGTAGATGTTTTCTTAAAATATTAATTTCACTTCAATTTGTAATAGTTTATTCCGAATAAATCTGCGGTTATCAAAAATTTACTGCTGTCAAAAAAGATTTCTTTTCACACAGCAGATTGGCAAAACTGTATCACCATAGTAAAAATATTATTCAACAGCTTTCCCCATAGAACTTTGTTACTGATTCACACACGCCCAAAATAATAAATAAATATTTGGCGCTTACACATTTGCTTCTCCTCGGATTTGTTGCGTGCGCCTTGATGCTGTCACACAAAGACGAGGGGCCTACAGTTTTACGCCACATCCGAACGACAATGGCAGAATTATACCCGATCACGGCGATCGCATTCAAATTCATTATAAATTTCCTAGTAGCACTCCAGTCTGACAGCGTTGAAGTGGAAATCTCTACATCGCTAGATGAGAAAGCATATCGCCATTTCATTTAGCGAATAACATATTTTACTGATCTAGTTCATTTAATTGCCTTCCAGCTCATAATGGTCGAATGAAAAATAACACTGGATCACAAATTTTAGTTTTGTTTTTGTTCTCCAGACGCCACTACCCAATTCTTATTTAGAATTACTCGGTGATTTCGAAAATCGAGTTAACTTTTTTTCCATGAATACATTTTTGCTGTATACCAGTGTAATTTATAAATTAAAAAGAATTGAATTATCTACATACATATGAAAAATGCTTGAATTGAATTCAACTAAATTGAATACTTATTTTATCACATGAATTGTTTTTGAGTATAAATTTTAAAAACTGTATCCCACATTTATCCGTTACTATTTTTACAACATAGTTTGATGCTGCATTACATTCATTTTCGAATTTCAAAAGTGATCGCCACATAACCAGAATATTGGCCGTAATTCCTTTGTTGATAAGCGGTGCCCTAATAGGTGATTATAATAATTTAAAAGCATTAATTATTAGCTATTTATTAAAAAATCTATCAAGGCTTCGATATTTACACATGGATACTTCAAGTCCAACTTACACCTGAAAATGGTTCAGGTAAGTAATAGAATTTTAATTTGCATACATTCATACAAAATGTATAATTCTTTCTTTCTCTCTTTGACTAGATTCCAATCTTGCATGGTATTTACCGTTTTATTTACTTTATTTTGTCTTGATTGGCTTTCACGTTTTATTTGCCAATACCGCTTTTGGATTTGGCAGACGTTTCGGTCGCTTGAATGAAATGTTAAGAAGCTGTTATCTAACAAGTAAGACGATGTGAAGTAAATTACGAATACAATCTTTTGTCCTTGAACTTAATTTGAAATCGTTCCCAAACACATTATTGTTAAAAACGTTTTAAATTATAAACAAGCCTTTTTTAAATTTTCAGATAAAAAATCGTTGACTGTAGTTCGAAATCACATGAATAGCCTTAAAATCACACCAGATCATGCAATATCAATACACGAGAGTATAGAACGCGTAAGCAGTGAATCGTTGTCTAAAGAATGTTTAGGTAAGTGAGAGTGGAACGAAGTTCATTGATTTTTGCTGCATAATACACAGCAATAAAAATAGTATGTACATAAGAATTTAAGCATCTTGGTTAAAAAAATAAAAAAAAAAATTAACATCCTTATTCTTGATTGTTTTATTGAATTTTCCTTCCAGGCAAGACGCGCGTCATTTTGCTGAGATCAATTGCCGAAAATTACGATTCATTAGGCAAGTGTGTGCAGATTTTTTCCAAGTAAGTAATATTCCAGAAATCCTGGTACTAAGCCTTTATTAACCGTATCCATATCTCTCTCCTGTTAGCGCTTACGGTGTGGCAGTGCTTTTCATTTTAGTATCCTGCCTGCTGCACTTGGTGGCCACTGCATATTTTCTATTTTTAGCGTTGTTGAACAGAAATGTAGCCGACTATGTATGGGGTCAGGTGTTGTGGATTGCTTTCCATATATTCAGATTGCTAATGGTAGTGGAACCATGTCACAGAGCAACGGAAGAGGTGTGTACAATTATGCTTTCAGATAATAAAATAATTAGTGTTGGACAGTATCAATACCAAAAGTACTCACAACTCGATTCTCAAAAAGATCGACAGCACCCGATGTTTAAAAGTATGGATATTGAGTACTTCAAAGAACTCAGTACTCACAAAAGAATTCGAAAGTACTCAGAACTTAAAAGAACTCGAAAGTACTCAGTACTTAAAAATACTGTTTCAATAATCGGTTTGATACATGTACCTACTCAGGATCGATTCAAAGTATTCAGTATTAAGTGTCGAATATACTTAAAAAATAATGAGTTTTATTAACTTTTAACGGTATTCCCAAATTATTGTACTCAATTTGCAGTTTCAATAACTTTCAAGTACACTTCTTGTACCCAGTATAGTTAGCCATTCATTTGACGTAATTTGGGATTCAAAAACAAAGTACTGCCAGCTTGTGAGATTTCTACACTAAGTATTGAAATGTTACTAAAATGTGTATATTTGAAGAAAGTACTCAGTACTCTGAAAAATACCCGATCCTTAAAAGTATCGATACCAAAGAACTCGATCCTCAAAAGTACTCGATACATTCAACACTAAAAATAATAGGAGTAAATATCGATTGAATATCTCGAAACTTTGAATGAACGATCAAGATGTGATGGAAAAATGCTTTGGAATTCTCGAGTTTCTATTTTTTTTTTTTGTAACCGACTTCAAAAAAAGAAAAAGGTTACCAATTCGTCGGAATATTTTTTTTTTATGTATGTATGTTAACCATGGCAACGGATTTCTATAATACTTCTTTTAAAGGAAACGTTGTACCTCATAAGTGGTCCCATTCTAATTTGGTTCAGACCCGATCATTGGATTATTAAGAAATTAACGGTACTCTTAAATTTTTATATCGGAATTGAAGTCGGTTTTGTTTTTTACTTAAAAATTGCTTGTTAATTTAAAGCAATCGCTTAATTATTTGTTCTAGATTTAAATAAAAACCTAATTTTTTTTTTGTTTATTTGCAGTCAAAGAAAACCATACAAATATTATCTGAAATCGAGCGAAAAACTCATGAGCCTATACTGGCTGAAGAGGTAAGTCTTGCTTATTTCCGTTTCTTTCTCCATGTGGGTACTTACAGAGTACGAGTATAAACTGTTACAATATTTTTTCCACAGATCAGGAGATTTTGGCAACAATTGCTGGTTAATGACATAGAATTCTCGGCGCTGGGGCTCTGTCGTATTAATAGAAAGATATTGACATCGGTGAGTGTATAGTTTAATAGATTATTTATATTAGGGACGGATGCTTTAGTATCGTCCGTAATTTGGTAATATGTAATCTGGTATTTTATAAGCCAATCTAAAAAGCTCAGTCGACTAAAGTTGTCGACTATGAAAGCTATAACAGGAAAGTCACCATTATTGGTCTATCAGCACATTTTTACATTTCGATAGGGAGAGAGAGTTGAAAGCTCTAGAACATTTATTAACACCATCCATTGTGACTCCATTATCGGGGGTACAGGTTTGTAAGAGCATGTGCGGCGTCAGAAGAAGCTGTATATGTTTTCTAACTACATCTAAGCTAAGTCAAGGAACATCTACATAATATCGCGTGGAATCAAAATTTCCACAAGCAGTAATGCACTCTCACAATGGCCGCACGCCTTTACGTCGAGTTAAAATTGGTACATAGGTCATGGAACTATTCCTGGGGGCTGGACAACAAGAGGAAAACTGAGCCCATAAAACGATCAAAGTCTGTACTACCTATTTTAATTGGTATCTCAGCAAATCACTCTCTATAGGAGTTCTTGGGCCTTATGAATAAAAAGTAAGCAATTGCTGGCAATTTTTCTTAAAACTTCAGACCTTTTACTTCAATTTATTGGAATAAATCTAGTAGAAGCTCTGAAATTTTAAGAGGAAGTAATTGCTTAAATTTATTGGAATAAATCTAGTAGAAAGGCTCTATCAATTTCAACATATGAGTACTGGTTCCGCCGTTTCAGAAGTGGTACTTTAGACCCAAACGAAAAGAAGCCCGAAGGAAGGCCGTTGAATTGGAGGCAGTTTTGTACGAAGACTCGTGACAAACCCAAGAAGAACCAGTCATTTCATTGCGATTTAAAAGCATGCTATGGTCCAGGAAGTCGGAAACTGGGTGCTTCAGGAAGTCAAAGCCCAAGATATCGAACGGCGTTTCACTGTTTCCCAAAAGCTCATTTATCATATGAGAATCCAAAGCGCCAGAAGCCGTATGCTAAGCACGTTGAATCCGGACTACCGACTCCAAATCTAAATATGAATGGCAGCAAAGTATTGCTCTGCCTTTGGTTTTACCACAATCCTATCCTATATCAGAGCTTCTGAAAAGTGGTCAGACGATCGATGGGGCTCTCCACAGACAATCACTGCTGAAATATGGCCAGAGTGGGCAACCAGACGTAAGTCATTGAACTTCCATCATGATGATGATGATGTCGCAAGTGGTCAAAATTTATCTCGATGGTACCGGATGGGAAATCCTAACCCACTCACCTTCTGGCTCACACCTTGCACTATCAGGGAGTATGCTTCTCTAAAGTTGAAGGTAGCCAAAATTTAAATTGAAAATAGAAAAAGTTTGTATGAGCCTTACTTTCGACTTTTCCACGTTTTCGCATTTAAAACATTTTCCTAAATACTTTTTCTGAGCATTAACTACAGTAAAATTTTATAGTGCCCTGTAATCACATATGTACTTATATCAAATTCTGAACTAAATATTTAAATTATTTTCTTTTATTTTTTTACAGTTTAGCTCAGCGATTGCTACGTATCTAGTTATTTTAATACAGTTCCAAAAGGCCAGCGGTTAATGGACAACATATTCTAGAAATATACCGAAACTTTAATAAACCACCAACACCAAGTACAAGATAAATAGTTCTGCAGAAAACGCCATCCATTAAATGCGTATGTAAGCGATGTAATAGCCCATTTCCACCGAGCCTTAATTGCAGTTTGTGCTTCTGGTCAGCAATGAATTGTGCAACAATGTGAAAATTTTCAAGTAATAGTTGTATGATGGTGTCTTATCTGCATATTTGAACAAGGTAAACTAAAGGGTAATAGGCTAGGACATATTATAATGTAAAAAGAATTTGATAAAATAGTTTTAGGCGCATAAAGAGCCGTAGCTAAACACAAATTTACTTTTACCAAATTTACTTTTACCAATAGGTACTTTTAGTATAAAGGAGAAGTTTCTACCTCGAACGAAGTAAATGCTCCCACCACTTGGGAATAAAAAAAGGCTGGAAACTACAGCAAAAATACTAAAACTTTAAGATCATCCTATATTAGAGTAACTCCAGACAATGGATTTAAAATGTTCAGAAGTTCTTTACTGCAGTTAGACTTTTGTCGCAAATGGGTCATATCGTCGGTGATACTGCAAAACGGTTTATGTCTATTAGTATCCTTGAGACTTAAATGGTCTCTTGCTTGCACCGGAATGCATCTGCAAATCGTTACACCCTAATAAACGAATGACAAAACTGTCTACCTTTGGCTGATGAAGATGAGCGACTGCCAGAAGCGATCAGATACAGACAACAGATCAATTAAGCACCAGAGGTAATAAGTGACATAGAACGTTTTGCAGTATCACCGACGATATGCCAATAACATCTAATAATAAAATTGTAGACCGAAAATAAACATACATACATGAAAATTCATTTGGATAAAACAGAACTGCAGTCTAAAAAATCTTTTTTATTTAGCAAAAGTAAAACTAATTCTGTGGTCATAAGCAATAACCGCCTAGGTCGACTTAAGAAAGAATTGAGTCATATGTATATGCTATTGTAGTCTACAACTACTATTTAAAAAGTTATAGACGAACATATTTTAGTTTCCCCATAAGGGGAAATGCTTAAAACGTTTTTTCTCGAATTCAGGTTTTTCGACTTAGGCGGTTATTGCATATGACCACAGAATTTAGGTTGGTAGAATGTGGAAAATATTCCTCAGGTAAGTACGTAACCTAATACCTAAATTTTATTTTCTTATGTGTTAATGTACTATAGTATTTTTTTTTTAATTTTAACTAAATTTCTTAATGACTTGAAACTTTCCATCATATATCATAGAAATTGTTAATTTATGTACATTAATACATAAATATCGCCATCTGAAATGCAAAAGCCTGTAATTCAAAATTTCCTTATTGATTGATGATGATGCATCACATCGAATTACAAGTTCTCACATCGATTTATACAAAAAAAAAAATAAATATGTTGATAGTTACGGCCTATTACATTTCAGGTAACGTCATGAACATACAAACACGTCTAGTTAAATACATGCTTAATAATTATCTAAACATAAATACCTGTAGACATCAATTTGTTAAACAACCGATCAACACGCCTACTACAAAAACAAAAACGCATGTGACGACACCTATCAACACTCCCGCAGCGTGATAATTTACGTGGTTAACACGCAGTCAACGCTCTTATTCGCCTAAATATATGCCACACTAGCTGCTGTGTTATGTGTTTATTTTCAATTACTCGCATACGCAGCAATACACACGCGTTGCCGTTGTAACACAAACGTATTAACTGATGGCTACCGCTTCAGTGGTTGAATCATTATTTCACGCAATATATCATTTAAAAGCCATGAAGTTTCAATTTTAAGGCTTGCCCATTTATGCTTTCTGGTAAAAAAAAACGACGCTCACACATGATTAAGTACATACAAGCCATAATTTGTTTACTTTTATATGTTCGTAAGGAAGTTTGTGGAGTTTCCATAGCTTGACTATTTAATGGCGTGCATGATTACTGTGTCATTGTCACGAACTTTAATGGTTATTTACACTTTAAACAGGACCATTGTAAACAGCGTTGTTATGAATTAACCCTAAACGAGGTATGCGGTGAACAATTATATGAAATGTCCGAATTTTGATAGATTCCATTGGGAAGTGGATCCTTTGAGAACATTTTTATTACTCACGAGTACATATCGAGTCCTAACCGCAAAAATAATGAAAGCGACATTTTTTCAAACAGTTTTTCTTGTATGTAGAAATGCTCCTAGACCCCAGGGACCCAGGACCTAGAGCATCTAGACGTATTTCTCCAGCAAAATGTCAAAAACTTTCACTTACGTCGAAGCGACTGTATTTTTATGATAAGCGATTTTTCAAAGCAGAAATACACTCGGATGTTTGCCATTGCCTGCCGAGGGACGACCCATATCAGAAAAACCTTTTGTTTTTGATGTTAGTCGGAAACTGGGCTCGATCCCAGAGTCTATGGAATGGTTATGCGCACTTCTAAACACTACGCCGTAATGGCACCACGAAAAAGTATGAAAAATTAAGTCAGCAATTTTTTAAGAAAAAAAAAACGACTTCAATGCTCATGAAAAAGAAAATAGGAATAACGCTTATTTTTCATGATCCCAAGATCGAAACTAAAGTTGTATGCGACCACGCTTGAATACATACAACCTTTTCGAGAAAAAAAGGTTCACGTGGCCCAAAGTTCTCAGTAACATATCGAGGGCTTTTATTCAATACTCTCTATCTGCAATTTTCAAACAAAAGTGCTTTGTAATGTTAGAACCCGTCTGGGACTTACCTGTCATCACTGATGTTGTAAATTCTTTTGTCAATGTTATACAAGGTCAGCAATAATAGCACCAATGACAGTTAAGCCTTAGGTGGATTTTTATATCAGAATCTCATTTTTGTCAGATAGAGGTTATTGAATATAATAAACCCAAGATATTTACAAAAAAAATATTCCGGCGAATTGATAGCGTCCGCTTTTTTTGAAGTCGATTAATAACTAAAAAACTTTTCACCAACACGACAAATTCCAATAAAAAGGTTGGCATGATTGTTGGCCCAGGCTAGCTCCTGATACACAAACTTTTGGATAGTTCCGCTGTTTGACCGGAAGGTTTTCATCTGTCACATCGTTGCCGGGCTCTTCTTGATCTGTCTTGCCAAGCCCTAGTACGACGAACGACGGGAACTGCGCTTTTACTTTTTCCAGAGCTACGCTTTATTCATGCGTTACATCATGCTGCACCGCGTTAAACGACAAGTCACCTTCGGCGGGAAGGAGCTCTGCAAAGACCGCGCTCTTCGTGTTCACGCCCCTACTGACAACATCCATATCGTAAGCTCTCCAAAAGTCGATTCCTAAGTAAACCTCCTGCTGCAACTAAGCCAAGATCAAAAACTAAAGATCTCTTGAGACCGCATGCCAAACAACGGCAAAACTATCACTGCTAATAGAAGCGTTTCGCCACCATTGACGGTTCGAATATTCTGTCCCTTAATTTTAAGGATTTTATGCTCTTTTCTTTTCGAAAATATTAGAGATTTTTTACCGGGACAGCTCGCGCCAGCACTGGAATCAAACAGAGCTAAAATCTCCTTGCCACCTACATATATACATATATTGGTTTGCGCAAAAAAACGATTGTCACCCTTCATGTGACTATCGTTGCAATCCTTCTCATTAAAGTGCAAAATAAAATCTATCAGATTAATAACGGCTACATGGCTTGAAGGTATGTAAACAGGAATTCAGTTTAGAATAAGCAAAACGCATCAAAATAAAAGAAAAATTCTTGTTTTCTACATCAGAGTATACTGATACACTGCCGGAAAAAAGTATTGGCACAGCGAATTTTTCACAATATATGCACCAATTTATATTCTAATATTTTTCCGCTAATTTTTTATAAAAACGTGAAAACATAAGTTCTAATCTTTGTGCAAAACACACAAAAATTCAATAAATTTTCATGCAAATTATCAACTTTTTAATCAGATTTGAGAAATTTTCTTTTACCAAAATTTTTTAAATCAGTATATAGTAGAGGGCTGCCTGAATTCATTCAAAACAGCTTATAAATTGTTCATATACAAAACGAATTAATGATTTTGTCTTCAAATTTTTTTGAATTTGAGTGAATACCGGTCTAATATATATATCGACATTACAATATTAAAACAAAGTGAAAATAAATTGGATTGAAATAAATGACATTTTTTTTTAAGAATATCCAAAAATATTGGGCGCATTCATAACACGTAGCTGTTTAACTCATCTGCTACGGAACTGCTGGAAACTGTTGAACCCAACAATTACGTCTTAGAAACGGCTTGATGAATATGCTGCCAAATGAACAGGCGATAAATGTAAACAAATGAAATTGCAACAAACAGAGATAGCTGCGCCGATAGTATTTAGAATTCAACGCTGAGCTGCCGCCGTGTTGAAAAAATCGTTCAATGTTATAATGAATTAAACAGTGTGTAATTTGATAGCAAACATCTTAAAAACATATACTTAGAAACGTAGTATTATTATGAAATATTTTAGTTACTTTATCACATCAGTAATATAAAATTGAATAAATTTGTTTGCAACTGCCACCTAACAAAGCGGCGTTAAATTTAATATATGCGGCGTAAGTCTTTTCATTCAGCTGCTTAGGCTAAGCCCAACACGTTGAGTTCAGGTAGCGTAAAAATTTTCCGCTGGAAAAAATGGCGAAGACTTGCCAACCGTTGAGCTGAGCGGAACTTCTCAACTGTGCGTTTCTAAGACAAATAGCCAACGGTTAGCCAACAGCTACGACTTATGAACGCGCCCATTGTTTCTATGCACATATGTATGAACAAACATACATATATATGCAAAAGCAAAGTACTTTTCAGGCAACAGAATTAATGAAAAATATTTCTTGTGATTTTTCATAACAAATAGCCCATTAAGGGTTAATCTATGCTGTCAATGAAAAATAGGAACTATTTGCCACCTAATGACAAACGATTTAACTATATCTGGTTATTATTGAAAAATACATATTCCAACTAGTGGTAGCTGGTGCAGCCAAATGTTTTTGTGCTTGGCATATCGACGAACAACGATATTGATGTTACGAGTTCAAATTTTTATGCAGTTGTCTCTGACCCAACGAATGCTATTTATTGCTCAGCAACTAAGAGGCCTAACACCGGATTTCCATTAGGCAATAAATAACAAAAATTTTTAGTTTGTTTCTACATTTATGATGGCGAGGTGTAAAGCAAATTCGGGCCTTAAAATACTATGTTTCAATAGGTTATAAAAGGGTTGTGTTATTACAACATAAAGGGTGTTCCACAAATACGTGTGTACTAAATCAGTCGGCATGAAAATCATTATTAATTGGGGGCTCAAATCCGGATTCAGAAGATTCAGATGAGGCTTTTATAGAAAGAAATTTTAGGAAGCATCCCTTAAAATTGCTTTGCATTGAGACAGAAAAATTAATGGACATTAGCACTTATACGGCGTTTACATAAGGCGATTTTGCAGGCAATTTTAGGGGCGCTTAGTTGAATCAAAAGTTGGCTCATGTAAAAGTCGTCTCATGTAAACACCGCATTACATATTCTTCAACATGCTCCGAACTTCAGCTCGTAGTTCTTGGTAGGTCTCCAAGTTGTGGCACAAGTGTTGGGACTTACAATTTTACGCCGTAACCGGACGGCAAATTGCTTCCGATGAGAAACTTTTTTAAAGCTAAAAAAACTTTTCTTTAATTAGTATTATATACACAAGGGCCAGGAATCGAACCTGGATTCTACGGAGCCGTAATAGGCAACTCTAAGGACCTGGACATGGCCTGGTTAAAAGAAAGAAAAAAATCGCATCGTGGTTGTAGAAAACCAACGTGTAATAGCAGCGAAGTCAATGCACGAAGTAAAAGTTGGCGGATATTCGAATATTCAAATGATTAAAAAATCCGAATATCCGGATATTCATATAAAAACCAGATATCCTGATAACAAAATAAATTTATATTAATTAGCCGGTTAGCAAAATTAATGGCTATTAACAGGATATCCGATTAAGAAAAAGAGAGCGGATATTAATCGGATATCCGGATTTAATCCGTATACACAAACATCCGGATATCCGAATATACTTCCCTTACTTCGAAGCGCTGCTAATTTTTTTGTCGGTTACACTTGGGGCACCCTTTATGGCATTTCTTCATTTGCGTTTACTTAATTTACCTATGTACATATGTAGATACTTACATTCATAGCTATGAGTAAACAAATTAGAAGCCAGATTTATAACTACATGACACTTGGTTAATTTTCTAATTTTCACATTCAATGCATATTTAGATATGAAACGGTGGTGACAGTTAAAGAAATTGTGTGGTCGCGGATAGAAGTGAGTTTGAGAATTCGTATAAAGAAAATTATTCCCTCAAGGACTACATACTTATATGGAATCATGGAGATCACGGAATCATCATTAAGCGTTTTTCATATGTGCAAGCTATTGGCATTAGCACCAATTTCCATTCAGCGGAATGAGAAAGGTGTTATAGAGATAAAACGCAGCAGGATATTCTCCATATACTCGATTGTTTTGAGCCTAACAATGGGTGTGTTTCAGTTAAATTAAAACTTTAGTTTATAATAAAAAATAAACTTGTGTATTTGTTTTTCACGCAGTCATATTAGCTTACGATAGCTCCGATGCGAATTGTAAATTTCCCTTGCGGTAAGCATGGATTTTAAATTGCCATCTCGATCTTAAAATAGAAAGTAAAAGAAAAAAAAACACCCCAAGTGAATTTATTTTTAAGTTCGTGTCTAAGCAATATCCTATACAAATTTACTTTATAAGTATTAGCGATATTTCAGAACGAAATCTTCAACACTAAAAGTGATCACTGCTTTGGATGTGACTGTGGTGGTACTTTCAAGTGGATCTGCTATTGCTTGCGGTCTCTTCAGCATAAAGCCAACACAAGAGCTGAATTCACGCTTAAACAAGGTTGATATTTTTTTTTACTATATTTGAAATAAATTATTGAAGTCATATGCACATATTGGCAAGAACTAAAATTAAGTTAGGATAAGTGAAGGAGCGTCCAAAGCCATTGGAATACAACTCAACGAACTTACGGACCTAATCCCACAACTGCAAGACCCGACAGTGTACTGACAATCTATTAACATATTTCACAGAGAGACGAGCGCCACCTTTACAAACCCTCATAACTTGAATGCCGCCATCGGAGTTCAACCTCGTGAGACCCGCGTGAGTACTGTAGTAGACCTAACTCCTACTTATCCAGACTCGACCAAGATATAGCGGGCTTTCAAGGCACTCCACATGTCAACAAATACCCGTTCATTTGCCGTATTAAGCCCAGTGAGCTAACACTGTTCTACCTTTAGTAAAACCCGCCGAAACAGCACATTTACTGAACCTACCGTTAACTCATCTTGACAACAACGATAGGTAGACTTGTCGATTTAGGCAGGCAGCAACAACAACTAGCAAATGCCTTCTGTAACACCACAAATCCTATGACGATTGCGAAAAGGAGATCTACCGAACCTTAGAAGAACGATTTTGATAGGCCGCCTCAAACTCTGGAAACTGTATAACAAAAATTTTATTTCTCATAAGACCAATGATTTGCACTTTTTTTCATATAAGTATGAATTTAACCAAAATTTCAAACTTTTTATTCAGGATCTTTAGAAAAAAATTTGGTATTCAGTTTGGAGCCCACTAAATTTTAGTATAATAAAGTGCAACTTTCAAGTTGCTAAAATTCTTTTTGGTTTAATGATTTTTTTTTGCACTATAAGCATGAATAATTAAATAAAATACGGGAAACCGTCAGCAACAAAATTTCAAAATATCAACACAAGTTTTTGTAAATTGCGCTTGTTATATTAAAAAACCCGAAAAAGTAGCCTCAAAAAAATTCTCAAAAATCAAAGCGATTTTTTAGCCGTTTGAAACTTACACAAATTGCATGGGCTATAAAACTGCAACCTAAAAAAATTCAAAATAAAAAGTTGAAATTTTTATGAAAATTTGTTGNTTCTCAAAAATCAAAGCGATTTTTTAGCCGTTTGAAACTTACACAAATTGCATGGGCTATAAAACTGCATACCTAAAAAAATTCAAAATAAAAAGTTGAAATTTTTATGAAAATTTGTTGAATTGTCCTAAATTTTGTATAAAGCTTGAAACTGTGACGATATTTTTATATAAAAATAACAAAAAATTTAGCTGGAAAAATATTACGAATATTTAAAAAAGAACAACACGTGGTCACTTGTTTGAGTCACTGTACATAACGCACACCTAGATCTAAAGTGAGCTAACTCAAAATTCAGAGAGGGGAATTTAACTGCTTGTGGATTGTACAGATTCAAGGCAATTCATACAAAGACAAGTATAACAGTAGTTTTTTAGTTAATGTATATAATCATGAAGATTAATTGGACGTAAATTCTATGAATTGATTTATGCAGAAAAATCGCCCAAAATTTGTATTGAGTTGCTCACACTTTAGATCCAGGTGTGCGAACATATAAAAAATTTTCTCTTCCAGATCGACTTGGCCTTGCATTCATTTTCGAATTTTAAAAACGACCGCATCAAATCCATCATAATAGCCATGGTTCCGTTAATGTTTAGCGCAACGATAATGGGTGATAACAATTTTTAAAACTAAAAGTAATTGATTTGTAATTAAACTGCATATATTTTTAAAGGATATGATTTCTATGTATGGATAACACTTGAATCGAAGAGTGGCATAAGTAAGAAATTGTTTTACATACAAACATATGTACAATCAAAATAACAATGGTTTTTCATAAATTTTGGTTTTTAGAAACCTGTATAAGCTGGTATCTAACATTTTATGGGCATTATCTTATCAAAATTGGATTCCATGTTTTATATGCAAACACTGCGTTGGGGCTTGGTCGACGTTTTCGCCGTTTAAATAAAATGCTGGAATGCAACTATTTTTCAGGTGCGAACAATGGTTTTTTTCTTTCTTAAATATGTTTTCGACTTAAATTTTTATATTTGCAGATAACTCAATTAAGGATGAAAGAGAGATACCAAAAAATATTATGAAAATCACTGCAGAAAATATTTCAACACTTCACGACAGTTGGAATACTAAGTCGTTGCATAAAGAAAGCTGCGGTAAGTGCAAAAAAAAACTAAGAATATATTAGAATGCGTAGTGCTCGGAAAATTTTCGGGAGTATAAATAAAGCTTTAATAGCGATAAAAGGATTGCCACTTTAAAATTTTTCACCTGAACACAATCTTTCCACCACAGTCGATTTTAGATGTAAATATCACTTATTTAATTTCAGTCAAAACACGAGTTGCCCTCTTGAAGTCACTTGCCGATAACCAAGAATCATTGGGCAAATGTGTGCAGATTTTTTCCCGGTAAGTATGATAGTAAAAAAAAATCAAAGAAAAAACTTTGTTTAGCATAAATTGACATAATAAAATATATCTCACACTTAACAGCACTTTTGGGCTTGCTATACTTTTCATTCTGGCTTCCTGCATGATGCACTTGGTGCTCGCGGCATATTTTCTACTTTTAGCTTTGTTGAGTCGGAATGTAACCGATTATGTGTGGGATCAAGTGATTTGGATCGTTTTGCATATACTCAGGTTGATATTGGTGGTGGAACCATGCCATATCGCAACGACGGAGGTGGGTAAGAAGCGGGCGCGAAATTTTTAAGACTTTGTGAATTTTCAATTGGACATTCATTTAATATATGTATACATTTTTTTATAGTCTAAGAAAACCATAGAAATTATGTCCGAACTCAAGCGCGAAGTGAGTGAACCGCTGCTGATAGAGGAGGTAAACACTATTATTTCTAATACTTTTTTAGGGATTTAAAAATTAAAGGAATTTCTTTAATTAATGTTACAAACAAAAATGGTTGGTCTTTTTTCAATTGTAGATTAAAAAGTTATGGCAGCAGTCTGTTGTTCTTGATGTCAATTTCTCGGCGCTAGGACTTTGTCGTATCAGTAGAAATATATTGACGTCGGTAAGTATTTAGACATATATGCACGTAATACAATTTATTATCCCTCAATTGGAAAGCCGCTCTGGTGTAGTGGTTAGCAGTGCGCGCTACCACTCCGCAGGGTTCTAGCCATGGTCAAAGCAACATCGCAGTAAAAATATAGAAAAAGTGTTTTTTTCTTAACAGCGGTGGGCCTTCGGCTGGCAAGGACAAACCTCCGAGTGTATTTCTGCCATGAAAATCAGCTTCTCATAAAATTGCAATCGCCGTTCGGAGTCGGCGTAAAACTGTAGGTCCCTCCCCTTTGTGCGATAACATCAAGGCGCAGGCCACAAATCGGAGGAGAAGCTCGGCCAAACACTAGCATAGTATATGTAAGCGCCAATCTATTACTATTACCCCGCTAGGTTAGGACGTTTAACGCCAAAAAGACTGTTGACAGTGACGGTTTTTGACGCATAAGCATTAAGCTTGCACTCAATACAGTCTGGTGGCCGTTCCTTGATAAGTCTACAATAAAGCATAAGCTACAAGTAACTTAGAGACCCATAATTTTTGAAGCTCTTCCTACAAAATTCAGACGCTCAGACTATAAAGTATCGCCCTTTGGTCTAAGGTATTATATCCCTGAAAGGATACCCTCTATCAATGATAGGTTTCCTTATTCTGCGGGCATTTACACCGATAGCTCTAAATTTGCTTTGAAGGTGGAAAGAGGGATGTACTCACACGAGCGGATTCCTGCCG